AAGAAGAGATTGAAGTTAAGGATTTGGAATCAGAAAGGATGCATCCACTGGAAGGTGAGGTCATTCCTAAACATGGAGAGGCCTGCAGGACAACTGGGAATTTCAGGGGAGTGGAAGATACTTGGAAGAATGCTGCGTGAAATCCAAGAGTCTAGAAGAGAGAAATAAAAGTGTGTGAAGGAACAGGTGAGGTGTTGCTTAAACTCTATTGGAAATGTATGATTTTTTTTTTCATAGCAGTACAACAGAGTAGAACTGAAAGTTGTAGTAGAGCATACGTGTTCATTTGAGGTCATCATTGCTATGGAAATTCATAAAGCCTGCTCCAGCTCAAGATGACAGGTGATTTCAGGTGGGAAGTGAGTTCCCTGTAGATATGGGTGAGAACAGAGGAATTTTTACAGACTTTTTATAGACCAGGAGACCAGTAAAGGTTGAGGAAGTATCTCCTTAAGAACCAAGGGCAGCTTTGGTGTGCTGCAAGGAAAGATGGTTGTAGTCATTAATTAAGCCAGTCACCATTGGAGGTCTTGGCAATGAGGATGAAAGCTATAGAACATTTATACTTGTAGGTAGATAATGTGGGATGATGGAATGATGGAATAGAGGACCTCTGGGCCAAGGGATTATGATTTAAGTGGTGACCCTAAATTTCAGAGAATTGTTGGAATAAAATGGGTAGAAAGAATGATGGAGGCAAGTCTTGCTAGGATGAGGATGTTGTCTATGCTAAGGGAATTGAGACAGGTAATGAGCCACACAAGAAAGATCCAGCCCATGAAGTGGAGAGATGCCAGAGAAATAGTCATGGAGTATGAGAACTATTAGAATTTTCAACCTAGCTGGGTGTCCGCCTGTAATCCCAGCAACTTGGAAGGCTGAGGCAAGAGCATTGCAGACTCAAGGCCAGCCTCAATAACTTTATTGAGACTCTGTCTAAAAATAAAAAGTAAAATAAAAAGGGGTGAGGAATGTAGCTCAGTGGTAAAGCACCCCTATGTTTAATACCCAGTACCACTCCCAACCCGTCAAAGAATTTTCCTTTTGGCCTGTGATGAATTCAAGGGTGTGGACTTCATGGCAGGCATTGTTAACCTGAAAGATCTACTGGTAGTTAATGTGGTCAGGTAAAGAAATGGGGAAAGAACCATTTGAGGGTGTAGGGAAGTTTGTCCTTAAGAGAATCAAAGTTCCAAAAAGAGATGAAAATATTTAGGATGAGTTCACAAGAGAATAACACAGGTAGCTGTAAGAAAAAAACTTCACTACCCAGACAAGTTAGATCAGAGCCTTTGGGGTAGAGCTCGTCACTGAGTCCTATGTGTGTTGAGATAAAGAACTAGTGGGTTGGGAAGAACATGAAACAGGAGTGGGGTAGGCCTGAAGGAGGAAGAAGGACTTGGGAGGGGTGATGTACTATGGGTTAGAGCGACAAGAGAAGCAGGGACATCAGAGAGACTGGCAGGGAACATTAGCAAGCAGGGTGCCAAGAAGGCAAAGTTTCAGCATTGAAGGGCCTTTTCCAGCTAATCCACCCCTAGTCCACTCACAATTCAAGGGTGAATGTGAGGTCGTATAAATGTGACTAAACTATCTCTTTGGTATGTTGGACAGACCATTTACCTACAACTAGAATTTTGATATTTTTGTATTATTAAAAGTCCATGAGGTTTAGGAATGCCTCATCCATTATTCATGTTTTGGTTCAGGCTAAGTGCTGGATCCCCAGATGCTGAAAATTTATAAATGTCTATTTGGAAAGCATTGACCACAATACAAACTACTTTTGGGTTATTTTCACGGCAAAAAGCTGTTCATTGGTCTTTCTCAGTGTTGACCATTGGCATGGCTTTCTAATCAACATAATCAAATGTATTTTATAAAATATACATTTGCATTTTTTAATAGATCTCTATGTGTCTGTTGGGAAGACAGGACAAGAGTTTTCTGAGTATAACAATGTGTATGAATATAAACTACGTATACCAAACACTTTAGATATGACATGGGTCTTCTACGGTATGATTTTTGCAATAATTTTCCTGGAATTCTTTGAAAAGATTTGTGTTAATCAGATCCCAGGATCCCCAAACAAATACAACTTTCCCTAAGAAGAATTTAAGCCTTGCATGATTTCTATCTTAGAAATCACGATGCTTCTTAGTGTCTTAGAGGTATTGCATTTTCAAGGAGTCTAGAAATAATGTCCTGAAGCTTTACACTAGAGCTGTGTGTCCACATCATTTATTCCACATCAAAAAAAATCCTATAGGCTTGATCATCAAAAATACATTCAGCAACCCACCTGGTCTTATCCCCTCCCCTGGGAACCAGGCTGGTCAGATCCACCATGAGGAAGGATGATTGCAATTGGCTCCTCACTTGTCTCTCTGCTTCCATTTGTGTCCCTTGAGTCAATTTTGTTTTCATGACCCCAGAACTACCCTGTAGATGGAAACTCTATAGGAAACACCCTGACAGAAAAAAAAATTTCTTCCCCTGGATTCCTGGACTTGTTTTTCCCCCTTCTCTTCTTCCTCTGGGTGCTCATCTTTCTTTAGCAACTTGGGCACCCTGCTGGCTGCCCTTCCTCCTCCTTGATCCCTGTCATCCAGGGTATGACTCTTCAGCAGCTCAACCTGACATCTACATGCAGATACAAAGCCTGACTTCTCCTCTTAGTAGCTGATGCAATCTAGAAAAACTGACTTGAACTTTTTGTGCCATGTTTAGCATATCAGTCAAGTGGGGATAATGAGATTGATATAGAATGTCTGTGAGGATTAAATAACTTAATAAAAAATATTTAGAATTTTGCCTGGTACATAGGAAACTCTCAAAAATACATTACTGTTTTGTTATTATTATTATTATTTTCTCTCTCTATTCTCTTTTAGTATTTTCCCTGGTCACCTCGGATGACAAATATCAATATTGTTGGTTCCTGAATATATATCTTGGGATCATCTCTCTGTCCGGACAGCCACACCCGTATTTCTTTTAAAAAGATCAGGTATGGCTTTTTAAACATTGTCTTAATTGACACACAATAGTTTTACACATTTATGAGGTACACTTTGATACCAGGCACAGAAAGACAAACACTGCATGAGCTCACTTATGTATGGAAACTAAAGAAGTTGATGTCACAGAAGTAGACAGCAGACAAGTAACTACCAGAGGTGGGCAGGACAGGGGTTGCAAGAGATTGGTACAAAGCCACACCTCTATTTCTAACCGTGCCCGGGTATCTCTGTCTGAATGCCCAATTTATGCTTCTAATCCAGTATTCTAAAAGAATAAGCACTGTTATAGATGGAATATTTGTATCCTCCAAAATTCATATTTTGTAATCCTAACCCCCAATGTGATGGTATTAAGAGGTAGGGCCTTCAGGGTGGGGTGAGGTGATTAGCGTGGAGCTCTCATGAATGGGACAAGTGTCCTTATAAAAGAGACCCTAGGGAAAACTCTAGTTATCACTCTACCATGTGAGGACACAGTGAGAAGTTAGCAGTCTGCAACCAGGAAGAGGCTCTTAACAGAGCCCAGCCAAGCTGGCACCCTGATGTCAAGTCTCCAGCATCCACAAATGTGAGAAAGAACTATTGTTGAAGCCACCCCATCCTGGGTATTTTGTTATAGCAGCCTTAACCAAGGTTGTAACCACAAAGTTGCTTGTCCCCTGAGTTTACTACCATTGACTTAGAGATACAAGTCTGATCTCTTACTCCACCCACTGAGGTTAGTGACCAGGCCCGATAAAGGCTACTGAACAGGACCTTTTCCCTGTTCCCTTTATCACCCTCTTCTGTTATCATCCCAGCTCTATCCTGCTCTTCTTATTAACTGATTCTCTCTTCCCACTGAAGTCAAACTAATATTTCTTTTTTTAAAATATTTTTTTTCCTTAGGTGTAGATGAACACAACACAATACCTTTATTTTTATGTGGTGCCGAGGATCGAACCTGGGTCCCGCTCGCTTAGGTGAGTGCTCTACCACTGAGCCACAATCCCAGCCCCTCAGACTAATATTTCTAATGTATATTTCTGATCATTCTTTCTTCTATTTAAACCTCTCTCTCTATATATTAACTCAACAGATTGAACCTCAACTCCTCTCACTGATAGTCAAGGTCTCTCTTCATGGGAGGAACCTGTCACTCTAGGCTTCCTGGAATAATATGCCTGCCTAGAGGCATCATTTGCTCTGTGTTTCTGCATGCTGTTTCCTCCACCTGGAAATATTGAATTTTTAGTCGAAACCCTACCTTCCACTTTGGTCAATTTCAAATGTTAGCTTCTTTTCATCTTTTCTCAAAATAACATGACGCCTCTGTCTCTTGAACTTGCATGAACTTTTGCATCTCGTCTGTGGCATTCATCACATTCTGACTTATCTCCTCATCCTTGCCATACTTCTTTTATTCTTCCTTCTAGATCATAACTTTTTCAAAGGCACTTATTATATCCCTTAAAGCTTCAAATGGGATAAAATGAATGGCAATAATCACACCAGGAATTAAGCTCATTTATTCTGCAAAGCAGCAGCCTGTTGTCAAATGCTAACCCTCTCCCTCACAGCCCTCGTAAAAAGAATGGGAAAGCATATAAATGAAGTAGCACACAAGAGGAACATACAGTGTGAGCAATTACGCCAATTTCTTTTATAGGAAGAACACAGCTGAGATAAACATGGAAGCAGATTATTTACCATCCACGGGTCTCCTTGCCAAACTCTTCTACATTTTTCATTAAAAGAAATCAAGGAAGGTAAACAAAAGTAGCCCTTGGGAGGAATCAGCATTAAGGAAACAGCTCATACATCAGCACGGCCCCAGAGATTTGTCTGTTTCTTTAACTGTGTCCTTTGGGGCGGAATGCACGTGTTCACACACCTGGGTGCATGTGCACAGACAAATCTCCAGGTGTGTTCAGCCACACCAAACCTTGGCTTACAAGTGGAGTGAAGAAGGAGTGCTGGGCAGGAGTCACTTACCTTGAGGGCATCCTGAGTGTCATCCAAACAGTAGACCCGGATGCTGTACTCCAGAGAGGAACAGCAGAGAGGCCCAAAGATGGCTAACTTCAGGCGTTTTGCTGCGGCTTTGGTGGTGGATTGCCCAACCAGGGCATATGTGCTGAGGTTCTCTGTGAGGATGTGGCAGGCCTCTGCATCCAGCTGAATGTAGCAGGGGGTAGTGAAGTTTTCCTCTCCAACCACTACTACATCCTGGAAGAGACAAGGGACAGGGCTTATAATATATATTTCTAAGCCACGGAGGATGCATGCTGGTCACTGTGGGTGGTGGTAGGCAGAGTAATCTCCTCTCCTGAGTGCTCATTTTTCTTTATCCTTTCCTATTCCTTTCTTTCTCAGGCCTTTTGATCCTACTACTTCCATTCTTCTTTTTTTTCCTTTTTCTTTTTTTTTTTAGTTGTAGATGGACATAATGCCTTTATTTTGTTTATTTATTTTTATGTGGTGCTGAGGATTGAACCCAGTGCCTCCCACATGGTAGGCAAGTGCTCTACCACTGAGCCCCAGACCCAGACCTCTACTTCCATTCTTAATAATTATCTTCTTTACTACTCTTCCCTTTGCCACCTATATGCTGATAATGTTCTTTATGTAGAAGTATTTTACACAGTGCATTTTTTTTTTTTTTTTTTTTGGTACTGGGGATTGAACCCAGAGGAATTTCACCACTGAACCACATCCCCAACACTTTTTATATTTTATGGAGAGACAGGGTCTCACTGAGTTGCTGAGTCTGGCTTTGAATTTGCAATCCTCCTGCCTCAGCCTCCTGAGCCACTGGGATTATAGGCATGTGCCACCTTGCTTGGCTGTTTTTTTGATCTTCCTAGAATCTACATTACTGGAATCTACATGAAAATCCAAAAGACCTTCATAAGTTACCCTGACTTATGAAAATAAACCTTAGTTTATTTTCTGTTTCTGAGAACTGAATGATTTAATATATATTTCTTATTTAATCTAAAAGTATAATGTTTTGCTGTGCCATTATAGCATAGCAGTTTTTCCCTAAAAAACCCATATACTTGAAAAGGATTAGGAAAACTAAGGCCTTATGCCATGCCATCCAATTGCATTCTTTCAAAATTCATCTGCTAGTTACTTTCCAAAGCAGGACACTGCATTTTTCAAACTCTCTTTTTTGCCACATTTCATGGAAGGCAAGATTTGGCAGGCTTGATGTCTTTAATATACTTTTCTTTGCTGAGTGCAGTGGTGCACAGGCCTATAATCCCAGCAACTTGGGAGGCTGAGGCAGGAGGATTGCAAGTTCAAGGCCAGTCTCAGAAATTTAGCAAGACCTCAATAAAAACAAACAAACAAACAAACAAACAAAAAACCCACAACAGACTGGGGATGTAGCTCAATAACAAACCATTCTGGGTACAATCATCATTATCTCCCCCCGCCCCCACACACAGAGCATAATCTCCTCATATGACCAAGAGTAGCAGATATCCATAGAAAGAAAACTCTAATTAATTCCAGGATGCCCCCCTACTCTGCTAACTCTACATTCCTAAAATATTAGGGGTTTAAATCTTTAAATATATCTTTAAAAATTTGTTCCCTAAATGAAAAATACCATATGTAATCATGAAGTACATAATATATACTTTGCATATTATACATGTATATGACATACTTATGTGTGTATGTATGTAAATATATATATATATAGTATAACATACTTTGTATATTACAACTTCATATTTCATAATTTTATAAAATATATATATATATATATTATATATAATGGCATTATTTGATAAAGCATATTCCTCAGATACAGGTGCTAAGTGACAGGTTCTGATGTGAGAAGTGGGGCCCACTGAAGGCCCTGAAGTTATGATGGCAATAGATGTAGAAGGACAAGGTGTCCCAGATTCTCTTCATTCAAAGTAGAGCTTTGGAGACACTTCCTTTCTGTTTTCTCAGGTTAAATTCACAAGACTATATCTTAAATACTTCTCTGCAATTAAGCGCCTAACGTGCTCTAACCAAGGTACAATGTGCAATGACTCTCTAACTCCAAATTTAAATAAATTTAAAAAAATAAGAGTGTATGTATGTATGTGTATGTATATGTGCATACACACACACACACACACACACACACACACTACTCAGAAACTAGTCTCTCTCATATTGAGTACAACCTAAACTTCTCCCCTCATGTTTTGCTTTAGAAATGAAGGCCTCCCATAGTTACTCCTACTGATGTGCATGAATCCCATCTCTACTCTGAAAGAAGCCCCCTCACCTCCCACTGTCCCTGTGCTGTCTGGTTTTTGAGCTGGATCTTCCAGTCTTCTGTATTGGGATCTGCACAGTGATGCAGAGTGAGGATGACGGGGCGGGTCAGCAGGGCTCCCGGAGGCCCACAGCTCACCACTGGGGTCAAGAGCGTCTGAGAGTCTTCCATGGGTGGCCTGGTAGGAGAGCAGAGAACTATGTCAGTGACATTTCATAGTAATTATGTACTGCGGACTTGTTGAGATCTGAGATCTAAAGTTGTACAAACAGTTCAAATAGTTTTCTCTTGGGTTTTTTGGGGGGAGTGGGGGAGTGAGGCAGAAATAAATGTGAAGACATGCTCTTTATACCAAGGCTTTCATCTTTCAAGACTGGAGGTCTCTATGAAAACAGGGAATTTGCTATCATCTCTTTGATCCCCTCCCTCAGACACAGGTTGCCTTTGGTAGCTTCCTCTGAATATATGTGCTGATACTTTTCAGGATGGAATGAGAAAGAACAGAGTCCTTATGAAGTTATATAACTAGCTTTTCTGATAATACTTGCCATTGGTCTCACAGGGTTTTAAATACTTTTGTGTTTTTAGGACCTAACTTGAAAAATACTTCAAAAAACAAAAATCACTTCAGAATGAGGACACCCTGGAGCTAAACTTAGTCCAAATGACTTTCAGGAATAATTCAGGCTAGTATGGCAGATTCATTCTTTCAAATATGACCAGAAACACTATAGAACTGTATTTCTATAGAAATTAAAATAAGTTCTGTTTATTTATATATCTCATATTCAGATCTGGGCAGAAAGAACCGCAAAGATCTAAATTCTTTTATTTTATTATTTTTTAAAGACTAACATATTGTTTCCCCAAAAAGATTTTAACCAACAATCAAATGGATAAGTTAACCTATCTTGATAGTTGAGTAGTCATCCCATAAGTGTTAAGTGAATGATACACAGTCTCACACCTTGTAAGTGCTGGTTAGCGCAGGGACTAAAACTCATGCCTTCCCAATAACAATGCTCAAGCCACTGTTAGAGTAGCCTGGCCTTAGAAAATGTGGATCCAAAGAATTTCACGATCCCTCAGGAGGCCACTGAACACCACCTTCTATCTAAAGCACAAACCTCTGACAACATGGCTGTGCTTTAGACACATCCACATTGACAGTCCATTGCTACCAAAGGGTCATCCTGTTTATTAAACACTCAAATTTCAAAAAGATCCTTAGCTGGGATGAACACAATCTAGTTTCCTAAAGTTTCTCTTCACCAATCTTTGACCTGTTTTCTAGCCCACTTTGTTTCATATATTTGGAGATTGTTACAACTCCAAAATCTTCATTTCACACCAAACATTCTCATCTTTTTTCAGCATCAACTGGCAAAATATGGTCTCCAGATCTGTTCATTTTCACATGGAAGTTTTACAGTGTCCACGATAGTTTGGGGAATCTTAAAGTGAACTCAATATTCAAATACTATGAGGTACTACTATTTCTTTGATTTGAAATGTGTAGTTATATTCATTCATCATAAAATTGTTCTCTTAGATTACTGATAATCAAGTAATTACTTATAAATATTATTGAGAAGGCTCCAGTTAGAAAGAAAGATGGAGATAGTATGGCTAAGTATCTCCTTTATAAAAAAGAGGCAGTGAAGGCCCAAGGAAGTTAAGTAATTTGTTAAAACTAACCACTCTATGTGTTCCTTACATGAATGACTCTTAGGCATACTTTATATTGTTATGTGTTAGTAGTAATGGCTTTTGAATCTAGGTATGGCCATTTAAATTAAGCTTTTTGATTTTACCTTAATAGTTTCACAGTAAATTTCTTAATGTTACGTCTTTCTTCCAAATATTGGCTATATCTGCCAGTCTTTCATCCTTCATAAATCTCATATGCCTGCCATCTGTGCTTTCATCACAATCACTGATAACATTGTAACACAAGAATAAGGCAAGGACAGAAATCTTTTCAAGGACACCACTTGAAAACTCTCTCCCATCTAACATCAATACCTTTGAGTTATTTAGTTCAACCAAATAGAAACCCATTAAAATGTACATTGTCCAGTTGACATCCCCTTTATCTTATTCACATAGACATTAAAAAGGACATATCAAATTCCTTTATAATTGCAATGGCCACTTGAAATTGATTTTTCTCTATTCTTTATCTGTAGTTTATATATTATTTATTACAGCATCTAGAAGTTAGTTTATCTGGCTTACCTTCATTTAACACTCAATGAATGATAGTAGCTATTATTATTTTTAATATTGTTGGAAGACAATTCTCCATGGATTTCTCATATTACTGTGCAGTCTTTAATGTCTTTTCAAGGATGCTTGTAGAACAGTTGCCTTGGAATATAAAAATAGTGTCTGTTCTGGAGCAAATGGCAGGCAGTTCTCCTTCTCATTACAAAGACCCAGGTTTCCTAAGCTCAGAGGTCCTTTACTGGAATCCAACACTTAAGTGTGTAGATGTCATCTGATGCTCTTTGTATCACCCTTTGAGAACCTGGGCTCAGGAAACTAGCACAAAAAGATAATATTCTAGATGACATGATTGCTAACAAACTGTCCTTTGTCTCTGACCCAGGAGTTTTGTATCTTCCATCAGTATCCACAAAACCAAAGTAGCTGACCTCACACCTCACAAGTAAGGTCACATCTTGGAGCAATCACAGATGACAATTATTATCAGTTCTAAAATCTGAATTAAAATTTGGCATTTATTATCCTTAAAAAGTCTTAGCTATCACTGCTTCCTCTCTAACTTTAAAATTGCATTCAGATCCACCAACCTATGTCTTTTTCTCTTCCTATTTAGAAACCCCAAACAAACATTACCTACTTTTAGTCTTTTAATATCATCTCCATTCTCTATGAATAACAACAAAGTTTTCTCTATTCAATCTGAAGTTTTCTAGGTACTTGGAAATGTACTTACACTGCACATCATAAGGTTATCAGCGGCAGCTTGAGACCTCATTACTATCCCCTTTTCCACTCTGATTTTCATTTTCTTTTAACCCAGTTTGTCCTCCTTCTTTCCAGTCTGAAATTCATTCTCTTACATGACTGAAGTTTTGCTTTCATTTTGTCATATTTAATATTACACTATCTGCCTTAGGCAGTGACTTTATTATTGCTTAATTCTACTTTTCCTTCCAAGGAGAAAAAAAAATATGCAATGATTGCATTTTCCAGAGCACTGCTCTTACCTTTTAGTTACAAGTGTACCTCAAGAAGTGAGTATTAAACTTTTGAGGAAGGAGCCTAAAGTGGAATCCATTTCAAGTGGCCCTTGCAATATAACTGGAGATTGGAAACATCTGTCTCTCAGTCTGGTGTCAGCAGCCAGTGCTTGAAGGCAGGAAGGATAGGAAGCAGGGGTTCTTCTTGTCATTGAATTGGAACAGAAGGGAGCAGAAGATTCCCTGCTGGGTTGGGGAGCTGTCAGACTGGTATTCTCCAAGCACACCACTGGCATGCAATATTGATGGGCACTGTTCTTGCAGGAGGGATAGCAAGGGAAGCGGGGAGGAAGGAGGGACAATGAGTGTCAAAAGAATTTATTAACCCAGTGAGGTGGGAGAATGTAATGAATAGGGAAGTGGTGAAGTGGAATTCATAACAGGGGATGAAAAACAAAGAAGAAATAATAAGACACTCAAATGCTTTCAAGATGAAAGAAATCGGCTTGAAATTGGAAACATTTCTGAGCATATACAGAAAGAGTGACTTAGATAAGATTTAACTTCGTGAAACCAAAGGTCAGAGTGTCTAAATTCACTTTTCCTTTATTTATATAAAGGTAGGATATTAAGCATACATAAAACAGTAGAAATTAAATATAACTCTGATTCATGTTTTGTAGAGAAGGGCCTCACTCCATCATGTCTCTTGTGTTATCCAAGCTATTCAAGCAGTCTGTAAATATTAATTGCAGATGAAATGGAGATGAACAGAGAGCAAAAATTAGCTGCAGAAGCAGCAATTAGTAGAAATTCAGCAATGAACAATGATTAAATTTTAAAGACTTGTTAAAGACCAAAAAAGACAATATCATGGTAAATGCTGGATGGGTCCTGAGGCCTCTAGGACAAAGTCCATAAGAGTTTGTTTCTTGTCAGAGATATTTTTCATTTCTTGCTTGCTATTATCAGTGAGGAGAACTTCTACACAGAAGTGCATAATTTACACAATTTCCACATGAACAATTGCATTTGCTGCTCATGGCACACCTGTAAGGTAAAGTGTTTATATTACATTTTTTTTCCAGTATGGTAAACTGATATCCAGAGCTGTTAACATGTTTGCCTAAGGACACAGAGCTAGGCATCAGCAAAGCGAGATTTCAAACACAAGTCATTTTTTTCTTTCACACAGTGGTGTATTTTGTGTTGCTTGTAATGGGTGTAAGGACTTTCTTGTCAGTTTTGTTAGAGCAAAACTCCTTAGAAAGAATAGGTCTCCATCGACCTCTGGGTGGACATGAGATGCACATCTCTTTTGTTAGGTCTCTTGGGATGACAGTCCCACCCTAGGCTCAGCTGCCTTTTCAAGCACACGCCTTCCCACATAACTGGCAACTTGAAATATTTGCACTCTAGGTACCTGACAGGGAATATCTAACTCACTTGCTATCAAAAGCTCAATTGAGCAAAAAACATATTTATGCAAGCCACTCTGAAGGGCATGCCACCATTTCCCCAGACAGGCAGAATCTATCCCAGGATGAAGCCAGAACAACTGAGCATTGTGCTCTGGATGGAATGGCTGGGTCTTTGTGGAATTATTTCACTGAATGTGTGCTTGGGCCTTAGATAATCTGTTTCCACTGAAGGACACTAATAGAAGCAGACCTTGAAACTCATTGCTATTTTTATTATCAGAATGCTGTTGATTGTATTATCAAAATGTCTTGTTTTTGAGGAATCAGGGAATGATAATTGAGCTTCTGGGCATATTTCACATTTTCCTTTTGAAAGCTTAGAAACAGTCAATTCATGATCTATTACCAGGGAATGTGCAGGGAATTATATCAAATCTATTATATTCCAGCTGCTCACCTGACTTTATCTTATCTTTAATAACCTTACTTTCCCCATTTTCTTATCTTTTTTTCATCCACTTCTTTAAGTTCATCCCTTCCATTGAGACCAAAAGAAAAGAATGTATTTTTTATAAACCACCTTGCAACATTTCTTTATAAGTAGGATTTCAATATATAAACATGGTTCAGAATCAGGAGAGAATGACATTTACATATACCTGGTCTCCGTTGCCTCCACCCTTTAGTCTTTTTATAGCTATTGCTTCAATCATAGGAACTTGGGACTCATGAACGAGAAAGGAGTCTCTCTACCAAAAATGAGAAATAACTCTAAGTGTCACTGAGAAATGTCAACTGCTATTTTATAAATTTCGAAACGGTAACATGTCAAAATAAACAAAAAGGATTTAGGCATGATTACTCACCTAAGGGAATTTTGGCCTTCCACTTTATCCTATCAAACACTTTACTATTTCTATTTTATATATATATATATATATATATATATATATATATATATATGATAGCTTTGGTGGCCTTCCTTAACTCACCTTAAACCATTCTGAAGTGATTTCTACAGGAATGTTGGGGGAAAAAATTCTAAACACTACCAATTCCTACAGGTGACAAACTGTATTTATTATTATTATTGTCTAATTATTTATACACACAATTGCATTGTACATACAAAATGTGTATTTTTCCTTGTTCTTCCTCTGTCTTTGCATTTTGTTTTAGCATCTGAACTGTTAACCACCTTGGCCATCTTGAAGCTCTCTTTCCCTTTGTTTTTTGAGTTCCCCTTATACTGCAGTTGATTGATATCTCCTTATACAAATATTCTTTCATTCAAAAATATTCACTGAGGAGCCCCTTCATGTCAAGTGCAGAGCTGCATGCAAACTCTTTATCTAGTTCCTTATCCTTACAAGTTCAATTTAGTTTCTCTCTTTACACCCAAACCTGAATGGGAATATTTCCCAAAGTTCTTTCTCCAGCTTTCTTCCTTCTGTCCCTACATTTTCTCTGTCACAGACTCATCCACTGCCACGACTGCCCTTGAGTGTCTCTAGTGGACTCCTTATCCCCACTTGCATTCGGAACACCTCTAGTTTGCAGTCCATGATTTCCCGCCTCCAGCCAGTTGCTGCTTCTGAGCTCTTTCTTCTGTTGCTCTGCACATTCTTACAGTGCCCAGGACTTGCATCCTAAATGGATTCTGTGCACTCCTTCTCAACACTGTGGATGAAATTCCTTCCCTTCCTCAATACATTTTACTTTCTGTCCTCTCAGACTCAGGCCTGACTCACTCTTCCCTCTCTCCTCACACCTAGTTTGATGCCACAGCAGAACCAAGCACCCAGCCTTCAGGAAGAGTCTTTGTTTCCTCTATCAATTCGATCACACTGTCGCCAAATCAATCTTTAAAAAGCACCACTATTCCCGTGTCACTTGGCTGCTCAGAAGCCTTCTGTGGCTCCCTACAGTTTACAAAAAAGAGTTCTATTTACTTTTATATTTGGAAATTCTAAATTGATTTTCTTTTCTTTTTGCTTGCCTTTTGATAAAGCCACTGGGAGAACACTAAGGAAAGGGGAAATTAACTTTTATATATATTTTTTCATTGCTGGGGATTGAACCCAGGGCCTCGGGCATGCTAGGCAAGCACTCTACTCTCAAATTGCTTTGCCATAAGAGCTGACAAAGGACAATGTTTCAATCTTAGACTAATTTAAAAAACTTGTTACTAGAAATAAGGTAAAAAGGGCCACATGGTCATGGAACTTGTATCCACAGGGGGAACAGGCTTTGCAACCTCTCTAGATCTATAAAGCAGGAGAGGCAGAAATGCTGGGTGCAGCCTTGGGGCTCCACACCCTCTTTGGTCAGAGCTGGCGTGTCACATCTCTGGCTCTTGCAGCCTATCCAGCCTTAATGATAAGGTCCCTCTTGTCACATTCACTATGCCACATGCAATTAAGTTCACGCCTCCTGTCAGACAATTCACATCAGCAGATGACCAGCTGGATACCATCCACTGGAAACACACCCAATTTTTGATATTATGAAAAGAATCAGAAAGAGGGAGAATAAAGGCAAATATTCAGAATTTTCCTACACATGCCTTGAAATGATATCTATGCCTTCTGATCCTTACCACGTCTTCCTCCAAAGAAGTTCCATCTCCTATCATGTGAGGATGGAAAGGGTCTTTAGTGAGCAACAGACACTCTGTCCACAATGCAGGATCATAAGAAACAGAGGTTTGCTGAGTGCCAGTTCTATGCAGGAGGAATGAACCTAAGAACACCCAGGAGTCCTTGGGGTCAGACGAACCTGGGTTTGAATTCTGCCACCCTTAGTTGCTAACTGGGAAATCTTGACTATGTGACTTAATTTCCCTGAGCCATAGTTTCTTCATCTTCGAAGAGAAGCTCTTCATCACTTGCAGAGCTGCACTGAGGAATTAATGAAGAGTGTGCTGAAGACATTGCAACAAAGCTTTGCATTATTACTATATTAAAACACAATCTTGCCATTGTGCTTTTTACAAGAAAAAATGCATCTAGGTCACAATGGAACATGAGTGGAGAGAGGACTTCTCACTTATCTGAGACGACCATCTTCTTGTGTTTGTTCCTTGTTTCATGGTCTCTGGTGCATATTTTCTTTTGAGATCTTGAGCTTTGTCTAGCATCATCTTTATAAACAGGACTTCTTTGTTGCAACCCAAATTCAGTGAAGTGATTCCCTGTGCACCTAACCTTAGGTGGTAGGCACAGCAAGGAGTGATTTATTGTTTTCTTTTCTTTATAGTTAAAAGAAATGGAACCTAAAAGCAGAGTGTCTTGCTTTATCAATTTTATGATTTCTTTTTCCTTCATTTCAAATGAACAATTATCCTGGTTAGAATGCCAACTAAACTTTGGGAAGAAAAACCAGACGAGTTACACATTTTCAGCTTTAGCTGGTGCCCGCAATAGCCCCTTAAGGTCTGATCTTCAGCTGCAGATAATGGTAATCAGATGAACGTAGAGGCCATCAGCCCCTCATGGTTTCTCCAAAAGCACAAGCCAATACTCATTTCTACTTAAACAAATGTCCACGTGGGCAAAAGCCTTGATGGATGGACATATTTAATGCTAACTTTATCCCTGAACAAGAGGAAAAAAAATGAATAAAATAAAAGGATCTTGGAGTTTGCTAATTTTTTTTTCTCCTGCTGCAAAAGAAGGAGTTCTGAGGTCTGTGAATGTAGCTTTGCATTGGGAATGAAAAGAATAAATATTTGATGTAGGTAAATACAGGCCTTTAAGTGACTTTCGGTTGCTCAAATTTAAGGCACGAATAATGCTCAAAGAATTTTATTCTCCTCTTACTCTGGCTATTGTTTGCATAGGTGAAAGTATACCACCTGAGGAAAAAAATGTTCTGGGTCATACCGATTATAAATACCTATCTGTCCACCTGAGTGCATAATAAAGGAGCTCTTTCAGCTACTGAAGACTAAAAATGGATGTTTTTCTGAGGATGAGAGCAGGTTAGAGAAAAGGCATAATGCGTGATAATGATAACCTATTTCTCAATTTGTCACTCACTCTTTGTACTCTGAGCTCAGGACTGAGGAGCCCACACTATTCCCCTCAGGAAGAACAATGGTCATTACATGATGAGGGTCTTCCTTTTTAACAGCGTCTTTTATATTAAGGCTTCTGTGTTCCTTAGAGGCCTCTGAAGGACTATTTAACACACACTTTATGTGGGAACAGATTGAGAAAGACTCCTAATGATTTGTTAAACTTCAAACTGAAAATTGATTTTAGAACTTCTAAACCCCTTGTGTTAATTTTACTTAAAATCATTTCATCTTTGTGATTAGGACCCATTCGAAACACAACCTTTTGATTCCATCTAGTTTTAACCAACCCTTGACCCACTTTGAAAGGCCTGAGTTTGAAATTTAAAAGTACTAAACGTAAGAAGGGGGCTGAAGACACATTGGAAGAGAATCACAAAAAATTCTGTGGGTAAATGTCTGTGCTAAACTGAGGTAGGAGCGGCAGGTCAGGGGTTATGGGTGTCCAATCCTTTGGGACCTTTAACCCTGTAATGGGAACAGGCTAGATTTCTGAATAGGGCCACACAAAGTCAATGTCTCTGTGTGAACTCACACATCTCTCTGGACATTCCAGGGATCACATTTTGACCACTTTTCCCCTGTTAATATGGCCACATGTCTACTTGGAACAAAGATCTTAGGCATTCCACCCATCCTCAAGATCTGCAAAAGTGTCAGAAGCTTCAAAGGTAAAAAGAAGTATAATTTGATCTTTTATGGGTCTAGAGAAAACTGTATGTCATTTAAGACAAAAATATGTTGGGTTTATTGTTTCTCTTGTACAATTCTCCTCCAAGTTAGACTGGTAAAGTCAAGTGCATCAGGGGAAAAAAAAAAGCATATTTACCTCATATTTTCTTTCCTGTGTACAGTCACATACATTTCGTAGACTCTCCCTTGGGGAATGGCCCCAGCGGGAATCAGCAAGCTTACTCCTGAGCAGCAAAAGAAAAAAGCAGTTGTATGAGACCTGTGAATCAAAAGGAAACTTCTAGAAAGAAATGCCTTTGCAGCAAGCAAAAAGTAATGAGGAAATTCTGTGATCACGCAGCACTAAGACTGCTGCTTTTTCTCCAAAGACATGTAAATACTCATAGCTGCCCTGCTTTCCTTCCTTATTGGCCTCTGTAGTTACCACAGTTCCCTCTGAACTGTTATGGAATTACTTAGAGGAATGATTTTTTAAACTCTGGTTTTATTTAAGGAAGAGACAGATGGTTCCACTGTTGTTTTCCTTGTAAAACAAGAGGAAAACCAAAAACTGCTATAAACTTTCAAACAGCAGTAATGATCCATTGTTTCTAATTAAAAAAAAATCTCCACAAGATTCAAAGACAACCTCAACCATATCAAAAAAGATTTATTTCTGAAATATCTGGTTAGCATCATGTATTCTACAATGGAATCAGAATTGTTGAGGTACTTTTGTTACACATACCTCAAAAAGGTGAACTGTGAGTTTAGTTAGAGCCAGTCAAAGCACTTCTACTTAGCTGCTAATTGGTGCCCTGTGGGAGCACTATTGGACTGAACTGTGCTCTAAGCTAACTGTGCACACAGCAATCCTTTGCCATTGAGTTTGCATCAGGATCACCTGGAGGGTTTGTTAGACCACAGATTAGGGGACCTTACTACAGAGTTTCTGATTGAAAATGTTGAGGCGGGGATGGGAGATTCTATAGATCAGATGAGTTGCCAGGTGATGCCCATGATGAAGGTCTGGGGCCCAGCCTGTAGGAACTGCTGAAGGGCACTACTGATCATCATCTTAAAGTGACTTGGGACCAGGATTGGGGGTCAGCATTGTGAGGATGTTTGGCTCCATCATTTCATTCCCATGAAATGCACTTTAATTCAGCTCAATAACGATGTATGGAGTATCTTTGTGAGAACAGTGTTTGGCACCATTGTGAATGCCAAGTAGGAAAAGGTAGTGTTCTTGTCCTTGAGTAACATATAGTTAACAAGGAAATGGTATATGTCAAATGAACATGATGCAACAAGAAAACTTGCCCCACTGCATTACAATAGCTTAAGAGTAAAGAACAGAGAGTCAAGGGAAAGTAGGGATACAAAGGCCTTTGCATAGCTCATGGAAGATGCTGAGTCAGGGCCCTCTTGCAAAGTAGAGTGATAAGGGAGCCCTGGTGGGACAGGAAGGGCAATGTCAGGCTGATATATAGAGAATGGTTGTGGGGGGCATGGAGGGAGAGCAGGAAGAACACACAAATCCATTAAGACTCAGCATTTTTTTTCCCCAATGAAAATCATAAAAATGTACCTTTGTCTTTGTTATGGGGATGAAAAAAAATTATAGATGTAAATTAGAAACAATAAGGCCTGACAAATATGAATGACTATGTTACTCTATTAAATGAAATGATGTTTTTGATCATTGTCTCATATATATTAAGTACTTAAAACATACTGGCTCCCACCCTTCCACTTAAGAAGCCTTTATATAATTCATATATGAATAAGTAGCAAAGAGCATACAAATATAATGAAATTGAGAAAAAGGCAAAAAAAAAGCATTTAAAATAAAACATCTCAGCTATGTAAAATCTATAAAGGCAAAATGACATTCTATTAAATATTTCAACTATATTAAAATACTTCTTTAAAAGTATGCTATGAAAGGCATTGCAATGGGAGAATAAGAATCAGAGACAAGCCAGGTATGGTGGCGCATGCCTGTAATCCCAGCTGCTCAGGAGGCTGAGTCAGGAGGATCACTAGTTCAAAGCCAGCCTCAGCAAAAGCAAGGTGCTAAGCAACTCAGTGAATCTTTGTCTCCAAATAAAATTCAAAATAGGGTTGGGGATGTGGTTCCGTGTTTGAGCGCTCCTGAGTTCAATCCCCAGTACAAAAAAAAAAAAAGACAATTTCATATGCAGGTCTAGAGATCCTCCATAGGTCTGAATATTAATTGCATTTTTCATGTGACATTAACACATTAGGTCAATGAAGTTGCTTTCTATTCCTGTATTTAAAAATATTCACATTTTTTTCCAAAGAGCGAAGATAGATTCAAAGAGGAAGTCATTAGCCCTCTTCTGGCCTATGGTTCCAAACCCATTACTATTACTGATTCATGAGTACCAATCTCTAATCCAACATTATGGGTCACTAACTTAAGGTCACCATGGAAATCCTTCTGAGGCTTTTTCTCTAGGTTGATATTATAGATGGATATATCCAAGGTCAGACTTAGGACCTTATAAATACTTTGTGGTTGAAGATTGTGGGATGAAGAGTTCAGTTAATAAAGAAAGACTCTGATGTCTATTATGATGTCTCTGATCATCAAAAAATTAGTGTTCTGAATCATCTCTTCCTTTAGTTAGCTGGAATTGAATCAACTGACATTTTTTTCTAATTAATTTGTCTTTTTATAATACAGTGACAATTGTGAGGGCTCCTGGTTTACTGCTGCCTCCCGAAGCTCTATTAAAAAGAAGGTCAATGACAGTTCTAAATTGTATCTCAGCAGAAAGTTGGGAGTCAAATATTTCTAGAGGAAGTGTTTCAGACTTGTTTGAGGGAAGATAAATGGTTTTGCTGATTTGGTCTGAGGTAATATTTGATTTATGCTGAAAGGAGATTTGGGTTAGATACACAGTTAACTTTTCAGTTTAATAAGAAAACAGAGATTTGGGGACAAAAATGTTTTCAAGTTGCATATTTGCAACCTTTAGGCATTACCTGAATTGGGAACAATAAGGTGGCCCCCAAGGGAGTTGAAGGTGCCAAACGCTGTACAGGATGGGTCGGTCTGCCTGGCGAGACTCTGATTCTTCAGGTTGAGGGCCTCATTCTCCAGCAAGGACTGGGTCATCTGTGGGGACAGCTTGGCTGTAAACTCAGAGAGGTCATCTTGGGGAGTGACAGCACCGGAGGTGTTGTACACTTTGATTTTCAGGTTGGGCAGTGGATCCAGAATTGGAGAATTGGTCATTGGGATTTTGTCTGAGACGTCGTGTAGGGCGTAGACAGGTCCCCTGTACATGGCTGCAGCAGAAGTGAGGTCTGGGGGCACCGCCAGAAGATCTGAGTCAGAGAAAAGAGAATTCCATTGGCATTCTCCATTCAGGCCAGCCTACATAAGTCAGACACCCCCTCACACTTTCTGAGCCAAAAGCAAAGCAGCTCAGCTAATGTTAGAGATGGACAGACTCTCAGGCTCTGCAGAAAGCAGGGCAAGTGGTTAACTAGCATCCATTTTGTTACTGGCTCATTCTATATTTTCCTTTGAGGTCTATTCACTTTACCCAAAGGATCTGGCTGTTGCAACAGACTGGGTTGAAAAGTATGCCCCATGAGGTTCCCATCAGGTAACAGTGTCCCTTTTCTATATTAGATTTGGGTTCATTTGAAAACGACTGTAGTAATACAAGGTATCTTGTCAAAGAAGGTAAAGAAAGAGACTAGGAAGTCAGTCCACGAATCAATGTTCTTTTTGCCAAACAGAGGTTAAAAAGTGTGACAGAGCAATGTGCCAGGGGGCTGGAAAATGATTTGTGAACATTGTCAACTTTTTTTTTTTTGGTACTTTGGATTGAACTAAGGGGCACTCAACTACTGATCCATATCCCCAGCCCTATTTTGTATTTTATTTAGAGACAGGGTCTCACTGAGTTGCTTAGTGCCTTGCTTTTGCTGAGGCTGGCTTTGAACTTGAGATCCTCCTGCCTCTGCCTCCTGAGCAGTTGAGATTATAGGCATGTGCCACCGCACCTGACATGGACAACTCTTAATTTGTTTTGTGGAATGACATCAATCCAGTAATGAATAAAATCAATAGTGTCATTGTCCTCAATGAGCTTACATTCCAACTGAACTAGAAGACTGAAACATCAGGATCTTGAAACCACCTAAAGAAACTTCATACATGCATGAGTAACAGGGCGTGAAGTGCAATGTCCACCAACCTTGTCTGGCGGCCTTGATGTTCACAGGCTGAAAGCCCCCGTTTAGGGCTGAAGAGTCAATAATATCAGACTCAAAGTCACGATGGTTCTTCCGATACACAAAGAGGGCCACGACAACAGAGATGGCCAGGCAAACAATCACTGCGATCACAATCCCAACATAGAGAGCAACATCATCCGAATCAGGAGCAGCTAGAGGGAAAGATGCAATGCTGGACTAACTGCTTAGAGAACTTTCTCACAGTACACATATGTATTGTTATAATTTTTTCAGACATTTATTGCCTTTTTTATAGGTTAATTTCAAAAGCTATATAAAATGACTGTGGCCTTTCAGTGGAAAATTATCTCTGATTTCTTTTTCTTTCTCTCTCTGCATCAATCCACCCACTAATCTATCTTATAATTGGGCAGGATAACAGACCATTTATTACTAGGCATATAAACTAGAACTAAAACCAGCCCATTCCATGGGGGGAAGAGTTTATTATTCTTTCAGATAAAAAAAAATGGAAGGATTTTTGAATTCATTGATAGTTCTTTAAGAAACATAAACACCTGGTGTGTTTGGAATCTGTATGTTTATCGAACCAGAATATTTTTCTAAGAATCATTCCAAGTCATAAAATTACTTTCCATAGTACTCTTCTTACTTTCCCTAAATCAATGGAGCGGTGGATGGGAATAGTGTAACTAAGAAAAGCAAGTATTAGGAAAAAAATATATTGAATAAGAAAGGTGTGCTTTTAGAAGGCCCAGACTTGGGGGCCAGAGGTCAATTCTGGTGACTTTTGCAAAGTCCAGGCTTTTGATACAGATACAGTATTATCTCTGAGAACCTTGAGCTTCTCGTGGGGCCTGTCAGAGATTTACATTTGAGCTTGACATTACAGGAATAAAATATAGCTCTATAATGTACTAAGTCAGATATACCTCTGGCTCAGTGATCATAAAGGCCATACTACCCCAGGGTAAACATCTGACCAATACAAGGTGCTGTCCCAGGGGACCTATGTTTGGAAGAAGCAAGAACAGAACTCCTATAAGTGTTGTATGTTCCTTGGTGGCATGAGACACGTTGTTTGATCTTACTGGAAAAGATGATAAAAACTGATAATTTAAGCCAAAATTAAACATTTGTTGAACTACTTTGACATTGTTAAGTCTCTGGTTTCGATTTTCTGTGACTCACGAGAAATGCTCAGCAAAGCTAATTAAAGTTGCTGCTCTGCTCTCTACAAAAGAGGTGTTTCAATTGATACTTCAGGTGGTCAAGGCAAACTCAAATTTTATGGTCAGTTTTATACACACATATTTTTGGGAGAAAGAATTTTCCAATTCGTAGGTTCTGTGACCTCCTAAAATTTGAGAAGCCACTGCTCTTTCCTAAGGCTCACAGCCACATGGTTTATATGGGGGACATAACTCATCCCTTCATTTGCCAGTGGATCATGTGATAACCCCACACTCTCTGGTCATGGTATTTTTTGTATGTTGGGAATATAAGTGAATTTGCTAGTGGAAATTGCTTCATCTCTTTTAGCATTTCATATTTAAATGTACTATGGAAGATTATGCTTTCTTCTTAAAAATACTGTCCATTCTAAAATTTGCAGAATATTTATTGTCCTGTCAATCAATCAGCATTGACATATTTTTTTTTCCAGACAACCAATGACATCCTAAATACTCCTGATTATATGAGCACTGCTCTCAGAGTGCTGACACCTCTTTGCTGCTGGGTTTTATCTAAGGCTTTGCAGGAAGATTCTGAAGTCCAGTTAGAATATTATATTGAAATCCTTAATGTTTTACTTTACCAGGCCATAATTACTTACTCAACATTCATGATTTCTAGCACAATAGGTCTGCATTTTCTCAACCTTTTCCCTTTTAATATTTGAACTCTGCCCTTTATTTATATCAGCATGGTACATGATATGTTTTCTCAGTTACCAGACTCAAGCTTTGAATGGTAGACTGACAGATTTTTAAATCAGGCAGAGACTTGAAATGACCCTTTCTTCTCTTCTGCATCAAAAATCTAATTTGTTTTTCATGTTAGAATATATTAGGCTCCTATTTCCTGTGTGCACATCTGTGATCCAAAGAAAGGCAAATCTGAACTGGGGGCAATAATGTTAAATGATTACTCAGCAACATAAAATCCAAACATCAAACTTACAAGAAAATCCATATTCATTCTGGGTTCTCTGTTCAGTTGAAATAGGATAAATGAAACCTTGAAAAGAAAAAAAAATGAAACAAAAATGGGAACAAAATCAAATTAATGAAGGAAACAAAATGGGAAGCATGAAAAATGGTTTAATTAAAAGAAAAGGAAAAGAAACCTGTGGTCCTTTAAAATTCTGGTTCAGTACAGAATTATGACTTTTGCATCCCCTGTCTGCTCTGGAGCCTCACTAAGAATTAATAAGGAGGCAGATTGAATTTCAGAGCAAAAACTGGTCTCGAGTCACTAACTTTGGAGTGCTTAAAATCTTTCTTTTATTGAGCATAAACTCTAATGGATCTAATTTATTTCAGACATCAAGGGTCATTAGCATAAGGAAAATCTTTTTTCCTTATCCCTGCCATATGTTTTAATTCCCAGGACATACTCAGTAAGGCTCTAAACAGTTTTTTTTTTCCTGTTTTATTTAATCATAACAGCTCACTCTTGGTCTAATAGAACTAAAGGAGACCTGTCGTCATTGGTCAAAGGTTAAGTATCCATTTACTGAGCTGAGTTGTGATCACCTCTCCCCACTACCTCAAATCCACTTTTTGTATTTTCTGTTGTTTCCTGTCTCTTTCATTTAATGGGAATCCAATAGGGATTGCCCAGGGATTGAGCAGTTTGTCAGTGCAATGGAAACTGAATGTTTTTTATTTGAAATCATTTGAAAATCAATAGGGCCTAAAGGTTATAAGGTTATTTATTTTAGGACTTCAAAAGAATGTTGTATATTGGGGGAAAATAACCTCATATCAGCTGAAAATACAGAAATAGCACTGTAAGGTTTTCTTTGTAATGGATTATGAAGTAGGAAACCAATAATTATAACAACATAATACTTAAAAATGGTAATAATGTGAAGTGGAAGAAAAGAGGAAAAAATGTACAACATGAAGTTCTTGAAATGAAAAATCTGTGGAAAACTTTTAAGTATAATTTATAACTGGCACCTACAGTTCCCCAAGATTCAATATTCTGCAGCATATGAATTAATCAAATAACATAGCACCATTTGGATTAATCAAATGAAGATGAACAGGAAGCATGCAAATTAAATATTCCTAGTAATACTCAAGGGCAAAAAATATAGGGAAACTGCAAGAATCACAATTAATTGGTTCAAAATGAAAGGTCTGTAAAGCTTTAATACTAAAAGCAACTCTAAATCATGCTTCAGGTAGCCCCTCTGCAGTTTGCAGAGCACTCAGTTCCTAGGAGCTATTTACCTATTTGGGAACTCATTCTGGAGACACATGCAGCGCTACTTTAATGAAAGGAAGGCTTGCTGTAGCACAGATAGGTTTGCTATGAATTAATTTTTAATGCTTTATTTTAGAGCAATGATTGCAACCTCCTACTCAGTTTTATAAATATTATATTCCTTATTCTAGTTGTCTGAGTCCATGTATTAGGTTTGATTTTCATTTTTAAACATCTTTGCCTGGTAATAACCTTTTTCCATTTGTATTCTATGAACTCAATAAAAGGACATCTGGGACAGATAGAGGCTTTATTTTAGGAACCCAAAGACTTATGCCAAAACAAGTTCACTGCAAATGGGGGAGACCAGATAACAATGTCAGGGGTTTGGAAATGATGCTGCTATGTAGAAGGTAGTCAAAAGACTCACTTTTTACAGGTGAGCGGGCAAGGGCAGGAGCATAAACTAGGATATTTAGAAATGTTCTGATGCTCACCTGGAAAATTTTGGTAAGGACCCACAGGGGCATATTTGAGTAAGCAGAAGAGTAACTCTTACAAGAGGAGAAGTCTATGTCCAGAGATTAATGACATGGCCTGAAATTTTACCCCACCAAGCAGTTCTGAGTTTTCCATTGCTTATATCCTTATTTCCCCAACAGAATTACTGTTCTTAACAGGCAGATCAAATAATAATATAAAAGAACTTTATAATTTTGATTTTAACTTCTACTTTTTCATATTTATTTAGATTTGGATCACTCAATAAATGTACTTGCGCCTTATGGTATTTTATGAGACATATTTAATTCCAGGCACAACAGACTTAGAAGTAACTCATTCATTCAACAAATGCTCTTGAACCCTTCTGTATTCTGGTTTCTATTCTAGGCACCAGAGATACTTTCTTGCATTCATGGAGCTTATGTTCTAGTTTAATAGAAAATACAGAAGTAAAATAATTTTGAGTATTGAAAAAGTCCTTTTAAAAATAAAGCACAAGAATGTTCTATGATTGGAAATAAAGGGATGGCCAACTTAGAGAAGAGGGAAAATTTTTTTTCTTATTCAGATGAAATTTGAGCTGTAAGTGAAATTTAAGTGATGATGAGGAACCAGCAGGATAAACATCAGGAGGCAATAAGGTTGCAGGAGAGTGACAGCAAGTGTAAAAGTCCTCACAAAGAAACAGAGTGGTTAGAGGGTAGGGAGTAAGGTGGGAAAAGGAGGGGTAGGGTCCAAGAGGTGGGTAGCAGATCATGTAGGCCTGGTGGCTCAGGAGGAAGAGTTTCAGTTGCATTCCAATGAAATGCAAATCCTGTGATTGAATTTAATTTTGAAAATAATCACTTTGGTGTCTCTACAGAAAATGAATTGCAAAAGGAGGCAAGTGATAGACTTTTATGAACAATTCTATAATGTGTGGCTTGGGAGATGTACATCAATAGGTGTATCAATATATTTGATGAAGTATTTATGTTTCAGGTTGTTCTAAAATAAAATATATACATATATATATGTATATATATACACACATATATATATATGTGTATATATATATATATATATATATATATATATATATACATACATATATATTTAAAACATCTCATCCACAACCAGTTATTCCTCATAAACAATTAGGACCAATCTAGCCAAACCATTATTTTCCAACATGGGGAAATTAAAAACAGAACAGTATGAAGTGTGCTCAGCAAAAGCTCAACACCCCAATTTACTCTGTTATGGAAACACTGATAAAGGGTTTTGGAAGACAACCCTATAAAAAATTTTCCATCCCTTTCAAAAAACTTCTGCAACTACAGAAGTAAAACATCACTTAGGAGACAAGAAATCAGAGAAGAAAGGGATTACTGTTCCATCCCCTAAACCAAGGGAACACAGAATCACTTTCCAGAGTTTGTTTTTATGCTTGTCCATCTGATCCGCATGTCTCTGAACAACAGGGGACATTTTCTTCAGCTAATGAGGTAACCCTGCTGAGAGTAGTCCTAGCAATAATGAAAAATAACATCTCTGGGAGAACACAGCACAAAATAATTGTTAGTGTCTCTCTGACAGGCAGGTTCCTAAGTTAGGGATTTCAGTTAACTTTTTTGCTACTTGAAAGTAAGGCAGACTGAAAAAGCACCAAGGCTGTAGGCCAAAGCAGTGGAACACATGTGAACTTTGAGTTTTTTCAGTCTCGTGAACTTCAGTTTGAATCCTAGCTCTACAAGTTCTTTAACTGTGAGAACTTGCTCAAACCAATTCCCTTCTCCAAGCATCAGTTGTCTAATCTGTGTAAAGGGCTATGAATACTTGCTTCCATTGTTGTGGAAAGGATAAATGAGATTTGGAAGGTGTTGATATATTGCAGGCAATCAACAAATGACAAGCAATTATATCTATATCATTATGATGCATACTGCTAAGCTACACTAAGAATTCTTAAGAGATTTTATTTGTAGAGTTGATATATATATATAGCCTATTATTTAATGAGGAAACTTAGGAAGTTTTTGAATTTCAGTTTCCCTGGTTGTTGCAGAGACAAGGAACAATATAATTTTAAGTCCTATGTACTCTTTAACCCTCTCTGCTCAAAGGGGTTTATACCTGGTCTTTGTCACTTCTGACAAAGGTATAGTGACATGGTTCAAGAGCAAATTTCCAGAGTCAGAGTGAAAGTTGGTTCTAACAGAGTATCTCTCAATCAGGAGATACCACTTTTCTAGGAGATGTCTGGGAAGGGTCAGGGGCACTGTTTTTTTTTTTTTTTTGATTGTATTAATAACAAGGTCTAGGGGGTTATTTTTGGTATTTAGTGAGGAGGGCCAAAGATATGTCCTGTGATGGGAGTCTTGCTATGGAAAAACTTTTGGTGACAAAATGCACCTCCATGGATGATAACATTGTCACCTCTCTTGGACTGATAGAAAAAACATAGGCCCACAGCTAGGGAAAGGACACTGCAGGCCAATCCAGGGCTGTGCTCCCCTGGAAAATTTGGGAAGATTTTCCTTATCTGGAGGACTAGGGGCTGGAAGTTTGTTTGTGGAGAGAAATATTAAAAAGTGAGTGAGGACACAAACAGTTGGAAAATGAGAGCAGGCATCCTGGACAGTTAGTGCAACAATCCTTTTGCTTTAAAGCCAGCTTAAAATTGCTCACAACATCATTTCAAGAGATTATCTTGTCCAATCTTTTTCAGAAGAGGAGACTGAATCCCAAAGGTGAGAAGTGATATTTTCAAAGTTGTACAAAGTTTTAAAATTCAACCAACTGAAATTGGTTTCCGCTATCTCATCAGTAGCACTGACCACCTGCAAGTTTTGCAAGTTCCTACACTGGGATGGCACCCTTCATCCACACTTGGCCATTTTTTGGCTGGTGGTGTTAAGGTAACTTGAGGAAGGACTTTTTCTAATTTGTCCTAGGACATTCATCTATTAAACTAGGAGCAGCATTGTCCATATTTTTCAGCTAGTGTCTAACTATTTTAAAAGATCAAAGCCCATGTCCAATTATTTTTTTAAAGGAAAGAAAACTTGTCCTGGATTTATATTGCAGTAACAACACATTATCTTTATGCACATGGATAATATCTAGTAATTGTTTAGTAATATGCCAGGAGTAGCCTATTCAGTGGACTTATATTAGGGAATTTTCAGGAAAAAATGCCAGAAACTAAGTGTAAATCTCTCTTTTCCCATTAAACAGCAAGTACTTTTATTTTTCTAGTCTTTAAAAGGGTTTTCTTTTTAGGTGGTATATATAGTAGTTGATAACCAAAAATGATC